CTGTTACCCGCAAATTTATAAGAGATAATATTAACAGAATTTATTTGATTTAACAAAAATTGATTAAATAAATTTTGTCCAAAAAATTTATCAATCAATCACATCATTTGCCAAATCCAAAGAAATGACTTTTCATTTGTACTTTGCAAATGACTTTTCATTTTCTCTCCAAAGTAGTTCCCTCACTTTTGATATTCTCTCTTTTCTTTTTCCATTCACACTTGCTAAAACCCAACAGCGACATGTTCAACTACAATCAGATTCTCTGTAGTATTGTTATTTATGAATTCGACTCCTCTCCATTTCGTTATTTATTCAATTTCTTATTGGGATGTGCTATAATTACAATGATAGGTAGCCGATTCCTCTCTTTGTTAAGTATCTTTTGTATATTGGAAATCTATGGACATCTTTTCCTAAATAATGTGGTCATTCTTGTGTAACCATGAATGTGAATGATATTGTTAAAGAAGAAATTGTTTGGTACAAAGAAAAATATTTTTCAAAACATGTTTTCTTTTTCTTATTTTTGGTTAGATTTTCTTTAAAATTAAAAAAAATGACTTTTCTAATAAAAATTGAAAATAGGGAAATTTCAAATTTATTTTCAAAATGACTCTTCTAAAAAATAAAAAAATAAAATTAAGGAATTTTTAAAATATAGCTTACATAAATTTCATAGTGTAAACCTAAAATACCTCACATCCCTACTCTTTTCTAATTTACTAAAATCCCTTAAAAAGTCATCCATCCAGATACATAAGATTTATTCGGATACATCACTCATGCAACTTAATATGAAACCTAAACGTAAAATTAATTTTAAACTGTAACAACTTTAAAGAATTGAAAGTTTAAATTTTCATCTCCTACATCTATCAGAAATCGTAAGAAATCTAAAGTGTTCGATCAAATTTGTTGTTGATACAAGATTTTTATCTCCTCCATCTATCAGAAATCATAACAGATTCAAAGTATTCGATTAAAATGTCCGGTACAAATTTTCATCTCCACCATCTATCAGAAATCGTTGCAGATCCAAAATATTCAATCAAAATGATTGATACAAGATGAATATATTGATTTCGTGAAGACATTTATGGATTTGGATTGAGAAGTGAGTTATGAAGGATACAAAAGTGATGAAATATTTTGAGATTCAAATTCTTTTTTCAGTTTGTTGAATATCCTTTCAATTTTGATTCAAAATTGTTGAAAATTTTTATCATAATTCTTCTCATAGTTCATTGAAGCATACTTAAATTTTTATTCAAATTTTTTGAGAAGATACAATATCTTTGTTAGTCTTGTTACTATCATCTTAAGGGTTTGAAGAAGTTCTAAGTATTGTAATCCATTTGATACATTAAAGTAAATTTGTCCATAAGGTTTACTTTTAGATCAAAAAACTACTATGTGATAGTGATTAAGTATCAATACATGTAGTTAATTTCATTTTTACTTGTGTTCTCGAAATGACTATATTAATCGTAATATATTAGTACTTATGTATCTTATATAAACTGATAAGTATTGTATTCCTATACATTAGATACATTAAATAAGCAAATTTTACACATAAAGTGTTTGCTTAGAGTTCGAAACATTATTGTGTGATAATTATTCTATATCAAATATATGTAGTATTAATTCAAATTATTGTATGATGACCTAATGTTTAGCATGATACATTAATAGTTCTATATCTTGTTATGTTTGTGAAATACGTATAAAATTATATTTTTTTTGGTATCTGCATTTACTATAAGTTAGTTGTCTGATTGCTTGCGATTGATACATAGAGATAATTGTTTTATGGAATGTAACACTAATATCTTTAACATTAATAGGTTGTTGCATCATCTGAATATCTTTATTCGGTCTATAATTCTAAAAGAAGATAGATTGTTTGCCTTGAAAGATAAATATGCAAGTGTGGAAGATTTCAAGTTCATAATATAAACTTTATTTTTATATAATGTATCATTTTGTAGTTGATAATAATGTATCTAATACAATTAGGTTGTGAAAGAAGGATATATGTCAGCTTAAATAAAGTATATTTATAAATGTATCACAACAAATAAGAATTGGATTATCAATTAGATACAGGAACAAACACAATTCATTAAGGAAATATGATTATGAAACCCCCCAGAAATTAGAGGAAAATATTAGACGGTATGAAACTTTGATAAAAATTAAAACTCATACTATGAGACGATGAGAAGATTAAATAATACAAGAATCCTAACCAGTTTCAATGAAAGATTAGTTGTTAGAGTCTAACCAACTCAAATTATAAAAATTTTGCAAATATTATACTAATTGTTACCAATAATAACTATTACTATGTCAACGTCATGAGCTTATGCCCTGGACGTGGTCGGCACCCAATGACCATTGATGATTTTGAGCGAACCCTTGACCTGACTTATATAACTTAGTGAAGGACTTAAACATAAGATACAACTCAAGGAAATAGCTTAAAATAAGTAATTAGCCAAAATGATAACCCAATGTCTCTGTCAATTACAAGTGAAAGGAAAAGACTAAAGAAAACTACTACCATCTGTCCATGAAGCCTCCAAAATAAGATGGATGCTGGGACAGGACCCCAATCATCCTAACAACAGAACACTAAAGCAATTAACTAAAAGCTAAAGATGTCATCCGAAATGAAGGGAGGCTTACAAACTGAATCTGAGTTGCTCACTGGATCAACGGTGCACCGAATGCTATCTTAGTTACATGTGTCTGCATCATAACACGATGCAGGCCAACTGGTATCAGTATATTGAATGTACGAGTATGCAAGTTGGAATGCTAACTACACTTATGCTTGAAAATGAGTAAGAAGGAATGTTACCTTGACTCTGCTCAACTCATGAATATCTTAACTCATTTCAATATAATGCAATTTAAAAGTAAATGCAATATAAAAAAATTATCTGAAACATGTTATAAACGTTGAATGTATGCAAAATAAAATTAACTCTGGAATGTATGTAAAAATATAAGTAAATTGATGTATATAAGAATACAATAACTTTGTGGGAGTTTCTCTAACATACAACCATCACTTAAGAGCTACAGTGATGATACAACGATCTACCTTGCTCTGCCAGCGCATCCTATAACCGGCCAAAGATATAAGACTTAAACTGCCTAATGGATCCACCAGTCTACATGGTTTATGCGGGCTATGAGTTGTCTGAACTCTCCTCCATATTGATGCTCAATACATTCCCAAAAATATGTTGGCTCTTATGTTTTAAAAACATACTGATTAAGTTATTTTTAAATTAGTGCTTAAAATACATAGCTCAAAGCTATCTTGGAAATCATAGTTTCCCTGCTTACTTTTTTTTAGAAAACTATAGTTCTTTCTGAAATCTTGCCCTAAGGCTCCTTGGAAATCAAAGTTTCCTTACTAGTTAAATGTTAAAACATTTTAAGTCTCTTTGGGAATACTTGGTCCCCTCATACCTTTAAAGAAAAGAATTTCAACTTACTCTTTACCTAGCTTGAAACTTGAGTCTTAAAACAAAGTTAAAATGTTTAAATAAGACTCTTGAAAACCTTTAAGAACTTTACTTTAACTTACTTCTTAACTTTAGACTTGACTTTTTAACTTCCTAGACTTTAAACTTAATTTTTCTTGAATTGAACTATGGATTAAAGGTTCATGATCTCGTGTTTATGGATGATTTCATGATGTATAGACGTATCTTATAGTGTTGGAATCAACTAAGAAATGTGTGTACATCACTTGAGAACTAGTAGGAAAAGATGGGGAAAGAACGGGGTCTTCAGGCGTCTTTAGCGATCTGAGAGGCGTGGAGCACCAGAGTCTGTCCTGAGGAGCTCTGACTGGCACGGCGCGCCAAATCCTGACAGACACAGACTGTCCTAAGGGGCTCTGGTTGGCGCGGCGCCCCAGGCGTGTCAGACGGGTGTTTTGACTTTTCTTCTCCATTTTTCATCACCAAACACTCTAAACTTCCATGGATCTCACCTCATCACTTAGGATCACTATTAACCTCAATACCCAATATATTAGACTCAAAAAATAATCCGAAAATACGAATCCAATCAACTAAAAGTATACTACAAGACAACCAACAAAATTCAACCATTATTTTTCAAGAACTTTAATGTTCATCATACAATATAATCAAAATAGCTGAATTAAATAAATTGGTGTGTGGGTGAACTAACCCAACACAAAAAGATCTCACATACTTTAATAACGATCACCTCCGACGAATTTCGCTCAACGATCTTGAAGTACTTGATGAATCTTGATCTTTCTCCCTTCTCCTTCTTCTCTTCTCTTTTCTCTCAAGCGCTAAGTGTGAATAACTTTTCAAAAACTGACTTAAGGCTTAGTTTTACCCCTAACAAACCTTCAAAATAAATTAGGAAATAGTTGGGTGAAAAGACCACATTACCCTTCTAGAATCTGGATTGGGACCTTCCTCAGTCCAACAATCCAACTTTCGATAGGCATATCTCCTTGATATAATATCGAAAATGCACAAACTCGACGACCATGGAAAGATCTCTCCAAAGGCTTTCCAACCATTTAAAGAATTGACTGTAACTCATCCTGAGATAGAAGTTATGGCCATTTGAAAATTATCAAAAACTTACTTTTTAATACTTAAGAAATTTTTTCAAATTTTTTCTATTCTTTCCAAAAATGATAAATTTTAGTTTTTTAGCTTATTTTTTGTTATTACGAGTTACAAGATGTTACACACTATTACTTTATTCCTAATTTACGTTGTAGTGTTCAGAATTGAAAGGTCACTTATTTTATTTAATTATAAATGTTGGACTATTTTTAAAAATAGGTAAAAGACTCATAAATATTTTATTTTTATTTTTTTTGTCTAAAAATATCTTTAGCCTACATGAAATAAATTGATTTTAAATTTCAAATATGAATAAGAAAATAATTGTTAAGATTATATGACTAAAAATAGGGAGAGATTTGTGAAGTGAAAATGTCAGAGCTCTTGCCCCTTTCTTGGCTGGTCCAAGCCAGCGCTTACAAAGTTAAAATCGGTGAGGAGACCGTCATCACAACCGTCACTGATCGCGAAGCTATCGCGATCAGTAGCATCTCGGCACTTAGGAGTGAATTGGAAACTCCAGATCCATTTGTTGGAATCGATGTTGTAAATAACGGAGATCTGTTGCTCTTTCATGTGAAAAATCGGTGCCTAATTATTCAATTTAATCGCATGATGCTCTTGGATGATCTAACTGATATCCCTGTTCCTCTTAAGGAATTTCTGCGGGACAAAAGTATCACTTTTATAGGCCCTAGAAACATAAGCCAGAATTGTACTGAGTCATATATATCTGGAACTGGAAGTAGCAGCGATAAAATAGTATTGAATAGAGTTGTTGATGTTGGTTATTTGACTGGTAAGCTTTGTAAGAAGCCAGATCTGCTGAGTAGTACACTGGAAGAGTTGTTGGGTAGAGTTGGCATTGATATCAAGAAGCCTCTGATTAGTGAAGGTTCAATGCGTCCTGATTGGCAATCGTCTTCGGTTCTATCGGAGGATGAGGTGAAATATGCGATGTATCAAGTTCACGCATGCTATCAAATTGCAAGCAAGCTAATTACTGATGCAACTGCAAGTGAGTAATAACATGATTTGGATATGTAGTGTTAGTTGTTTATGTTTATTTCTTGTTACCAATATTAAGCATCTTTTGTATCTATATCTATGAAAAATCAAAAACCAAGTGGTACTATAGCTTATATTGCGTTTATCGAAAGTTAATTTGACTAATTTTAAAAGTTAAATTAGATAACATTAATTCGACATTTTAAATAAAAAAAATTAGATATTCTAAAATTATATGAAAAATACTATAAATTACAATTTTTTTGCATATTAATATGATGAAAAAATGCATCTTAAAAATGTTAGTCAAAGTTTTTATAGTTTGACTCCAAAATAGAAATCATGACAAACAATACCGGACAAAGTGAGTAATTCTTCTAATATTAAAAATGAAATTTATAAAAATTCTTTTTAGTAATTCTTTTTTGGTGAGGATTACATATGTCTCATTTACGTCAGTGTCTAATATTTATTTATACACAACAAACTTAAAATTTTTTGTAAGAGAAATAGCATTGGCAGGCAAAAACTATCCAACATAAGCTTTCAATGCCCATTAAAACTATAGAATCAATTCTATTTCAAATGTTATTGAAGATGGAATAATTTGTTT